GATTATAGAATTTAAAATTTATATTATTAATAATCATCTTAGTTAAACAATAAATAAATTGGGATTTAATATAATATTAAAAAGTTAGGTTTTATAAAAAAATATATATTTTTAAAATTAATTTACCATCAATAAGACGATCGGATTTATCAGTTTTGACATCATTTTTAGTTTTGTGATTATTGAAAATATTAAGGAAAAAATTGAGGTATTTATACCCTTACATAAAGACTTTATTATATTATTTAAGCAGTTGAATGAAATTGTTATTTTATTAGTCAATAAAAGTAGAAAGCAAGCCATAACATAATTTTCTATATATTTTTAAATAGAGGGACATTTATTTCATTCTCAAGTCAAGTGTAATGTTTAAGTTGAGTTTTTTATTTTCATTCAAAATACCATTTTGTTCAAATCGTGTTAAATCCTCAAAAAATTTAAAAAATAAATACATTTTCATGTTTTTATAATAGTAGTCTTGTAAAATCAAAAGATCAAAAAATAAAGGTAAAGAAAGAAGAAGAAAATCGAGTCAAATTTCTAACAAATTGAGTAAAAAATGAAAAATTTTAAAAATAATTTGTTTTGGATTTTAAAAAGAAATTTATAAAAAATACTGTTCCATTACAATTAATAAAATTTTGAAATACACTCTTAAAAAGAAATTATAAATTTATGTATATGCCTGATATATCTTTTTGACTTAATTCGAATATTTCATTATTATTCGAATGATTATATTTTAATATTCGTAAATATTAAAATATAATCATTAGAATAAAATATTTGATTCAAATATATTATCCAATATTTTTTAAATTCGAATCGAATTTCAAATATTAATTAGGTTCATTAGTAGGTCGCGAAAATCACTTTATGATGTAGTCTTGCTAAGACACTTTAGCTATTATATTTTATCCCAAGGTACTTATGGATGATGGGCCCTTTACCCACGATAGAATTGATCCTTGGAAATTTTATGGATTATTTGTTAAAGTCACAATGCATTGGAATATTAAACGTATATTATGCGCGTATTTCTATATATTTTTATAAATCCAAAATTAAGTAAATTTATTTCAACCCTCAATTATAAAAATCTATACCATAAAGTGGATATATTATTTTAATATCTTAAGAATAACTCGTAAAACAGGAACATTCTTTCTATCACGATAATTTAAACATGTTACAAAAACGAAAATCTTGATTTGTCTTTTCTAATTCCTCTACTCTTTTAGTAATCGTAGGAGTCACCCATGGCTAGTCACGAAATTGAATATAATATTCGTCAAAAATAAGTATCCTAATGAGTAAGAATGAAAAAACGACTAATTTGTTTAGCTCTTAAGTGTTTATAACTCGGATATATTGTCGAATATAAAATCAAATGATAATTATATTGAAAACAATTGGAAATCTCAATTTGCTTGCCGTCATAACAACAGTTATATTAATGGATGGCAAAAGGACGATTAGGTAATTTGATGTTCTAATACGCCACGTTATATTGTATGGCAAGGGAGGCGGGAAATGTCCCACCACTTTGACAGGTACTGAAAAATTGTCCGATTTTTTAATATAACTCATCTGGAAATGCTGGAATTACCGATAATTTGTGATTATACATCAGTGTATGTCACTCTTTACAGATCGAATGAGAGGAAAGTTAAAGTGTTTGGAGTAATAATAGCATATGATAAGTCACTCAAATTTGGAATAGAAAATTATGGGTATAACGTATTCTATGGGTATCCTAATTCTTATAAATATTTTGATAAATATAACTGAAAGATTAAAAGTGAGTTTACCTTAAAGCATGAAATAAATCGAGAGCTGACGAGTTTTTGAAAAAAGTAAAAGCGAGTTTTTATAACTTCGGTTGCCAACCGCGCTAAGTCAAAAGATCAATATTTGGCATTCTTTTCATTTACATTTGAAGAACGGACATGATTCTATGGATAGGATACAATTAAACAAAGGGAGATTTTCGGGATCGTCTTACATAAAAAAAAGCTATGAATTGGTTGGATTGTTTTAATAATTTAGATCCTTTCTATAAAGATAACGAATTCAATGAATCCGTAAACCACCATTTCGCATTCATAGCGTGTAGCGATGATTTAGATTGGTACCGGAAACATTTGGAAAAATTTGGCAACGTATATTTTCACCTAGGAAGATCGGCGATTGAATTATTCCATTCTCATGCAAGGCACTCTCGGGTGTTGGGAAGCCTATTTGAGAGGTTGTAATGCAACGGTTTATCTCTTCAAATTATTATTCAAACTCATCGCTTTTACTGAAAACAAAAAATTTAACCTTTGATTTCAAATACCCCCAAAATTGTATAGGCCTATCAATATGAAATCCAAATGAGTATTTATTTATTTTGATAAAATATTAAAAAATAAAGGTTTAGGGCGTCCTTAATCCATGCATTTAAAAACATAAATTTATTGTGAAATTTAAAATGATTTATATTTTAAAAGTGTATTATTTTAAAGAATTATATTTGACATTATATATCGTAGGAGGTTAGATCTGGATAGCAAAGACCTCCGAAAATCGTATGTATTTCAACATGAATATGAGTGTCACTCTGTGAATATCAGACACCGTGAATATTTGTATTTAATAATATTTCAGGAAAATTGTCTGAAATTCATGGGGCATATATACACTTTAGATGCTGGAATAAAATCGGTAAAATCAAGTTATTCTATATACCAAGGACATTATAATTATTGAAATTAAAATGATGATTAGGACAATTATTTATAGGTGTAACTATTGTTTTTATTTATGTGATCTTGATGATCTTTTGATCGCGTTTTTATTGCACGACAGGTTTGACCTGTATATGTTTTGTTTTACGAAAACATGTATCATGATTGACATCTAGTTAAGAGGTGGGGGAGTGATAGGATATTAAGAATTTAAACTTCTTTGGGAAGGGGAGTGGATTTAAAAATCTTTTGGATGTTGTAATTTTAAGTAGTTTGCTTTAATTGTTGCTGCGACGCAAAGTCCGGAAGGGTGGATTTGGTATCTGGAAAATTTGTTTTCTACCTAGTCTGCAATGCAGGTAGTGACAACCATTTGAGTCAGAAGGCGCTTGACATAGTGTATAGGGATAATTTTTCATAGTAGTATGGTATAACTATTAATTTGTAATAATTTACTATATATAATTTTGTAAACATTTTTATGCAGTGCAATTAATATGTACATTCGTTTGTTATATCAATTTTGTTTAGAAAGAAAAGCGGAAAAGACTAGTAATAAACAAAATCTCTTTTTGCTTGTTTTAGATATTTCGTTTTATGAAAAAACTTAGCATTATATCCCATCTAAAATGATTAGTTGCACTTTTGTAGGAAAAACTTAGGTTTCAATTTTGTTTCTATGAATTTTAAAAGCGTCATTTCAGGTGTTCTTCGATTTTTCGGGTTTGTTATTTTAATAAGTCAATATATTTATTAAAAAATGGGAATCGCCAAAGAACCAGCTGGATCAAGTTAAATAAATTCTGGGGCTTATCTATTACTAATTAATGGGAATATATTAACATTTTAACAGAAACATAGATGAAGAACAAATACCACTATCTGGATCAAGGTCCATTTTCTTGCCAGTAATTGAGACACCATTATCGATCTAGTATGTACAAGAAATTCTGATATTTTTTAAGTAGCGCTTATTCATGCTAGAACGGTGAGTCAACGTTTTCTTATTTAAAACAATAATTTATCCTAGGCCATAACACTTATAGAGGTAGTTGTCAGCATTCCTGACAGTGAGATAGGCAAGTTAAGATAATTGATTTTACAATGTTAGATTTTCTTTAAAATAAATAAAATTATTAAATAATTAATAAATTATTGCAAACATTTAGTAAAATATTTTTATTTATAACTAATATTTCCACCCTTAAAAATTAAATTTATTAGTTATTTCTTATTTTATAACTTTTAGATAAAGAAAAAGTATTTTACGTTTTTTTAAAAAAATATGAAAGATAAAAAAAATAGGATATTTTATATGAATATTATAATAATGCATATTAAAAAACATTCGATTTTCATAATAATTTATTTCTTTTTGGTAATCTTCATAACAATTTAGATGCATATTAGTCTCATGATAGAAAATTTTAACACGTTAAATCATATTTTAACACGTTAAATCATATTTTAACACGTCAAATCATATTTTAACACGTTAAATCATATTTTAACACGTTAAATCATATTTTAACAAGATCATATATTAAAATATATATCATTTAGGACAATTATTGTATAGTAAATGTAAGCGGTAATTAAGCACAATAGCTTAATATTAATATAATCCTTATTATAACTTAATTTTTTTTAAAAGTTTTTGCCCCGCCTTTCCGATTATTTTTTTTTAAAGTCTGAATCCAGTCCGATATTAAAATAACACAAAAAAAATATAACAAAATTGGTGTTTTTCTTTAATGTAATGCTTTTATAAAAGCATTAGGACTGGCCTTGTTAGAGGTGGGCTTCTTCATTCACTATCTTTTTGCCTTATCACTTTAGATACAGAGGGACTTTATGTTCCAACACTATTTGCAAGAATCTCAACAAATTCATATTTTGGATATAATTGGAAAACGAAATTTAATGTAAATTCAAAAAAATTATATGATCTAAAATATCATACGAAATAGAATACAGCTAGCTTCTTCACCCCTAAATATATTATTATCTGTCGAATAATTTATTTATTTTTTTCATTATAATACTGATTATGAATTTTTTCCTAATAAAAATATCAAATTTTTTTTTAAAAATGGCATTTAATAATATAAAAAAGTTGTTTTTATTGATAATTAATTATCATTTTAATTGTAAAAAAATTTTTTTTAGCCACTTTGTGTCATAAGATAGAAAAAAAAATTTTTCCACAGGCAACAGATAATCATTTTATTATTTATTTTTTATACAAAAATCAATTATGTCAACGCTTGATAAGAGAAAAAAATTTTAATAAATTTTTTAAAAAATTCATAATTCATAATTTACAATGAGACATAAAACTGGCAAGGAACTAAGCTTTTCAAAGTTCGCGGTAAATAATTACGCTAATGGTGGTTATCATCATTCTAACCCAGCCTTAAATACCCCAGATAACTTGCAATCTGATCTCGCTACTTTCAAAAAATTTTCGGCGGCTAACAATGGGTTGTTTGGAGGGAAAAATGATAAAATAATCATGTACAATAAATGTATCAACCCTCTGTACAACGGAGGATTCGATAACAACTTCCGAATAAACGGCGTTTTAAAGAACGTTCCAAACATGTACAGCAAGATGACCTTTGACGAACTTCGATGGAATCAAGCAGCCGATTTAAATGAAAATATGAACACTCAAGGTTGTTCCAAAGAAGAAGACAACAATAAAGAGTTAGCGAATCCAAAACATTTAACTAATTATCAATTGATAACGGTGATTCTTATATGGCTATCTCTGTGGACGTGCTTTATTTTGCTAAAATTTACTCTTTTAGTGCTCAGCGTGAACACTTTACCATGGATCCTAGGTCTGAACGTCGAAAATCCTGGTTCTATAGTTGGAGGACTATGGGGATATTGCTTGATCGGTAACAAGATGAATAGTTATGACGAAAAGCCTTTCTGTCTCAGTTATGCCAACATGTCTACTATAAATCCTTCCAACATGGAGTTTTCCAACGCTTATGACATCGCCTTACAAAATACGGAGCTAGACTCGTATAATTACAGGGATGCTTCGCCAAATTCTTATAGAAGCCCTAAGATGATAATGGGCTTATATTTGAAATACTGGTTCATTTCTTTTTTCCAATATACCCGAGGGCCAATCCATCCTCTCTTGAGCGCATATATAGGGGCATTCGTATTCGTTATATCTTTAATGTTTTACTTTGCAACTATTTTAAGTTTGTTGATCTTATTTTGGTGTCTTCCTAGGGTTAAATTTCTACACTCACATGTCAATGGTATAAATACTAAAGTGAATAGCGATAATATTAATAATGTCGATGAAAAAAATAGCCTTCAAAAACCAACTATATCTAAATTAAAACGCATTCAAATCGTCATCGTAAAACATTTATTGTTGGTGGTCGGGTGGTCATTAAATATAACAGGTAAATAATTATTTCTTTCTTTTTATTTAGATTACTTAATCATTTCTTTTTTACGATTAAGCATTGCTCAATCTTTTATCCACCCTTATTTATCCCCTAAGTTGGAAAGATGATATAATAAGAAGGGTGTGTGGAAGAAACACGAAAGCATATGACTTGGATGGTTGCGTCATAGGAAATGGATATTACTTGGCTATTTTATGTTTATTTATCGAGTTCTCTCTTGCAACTTTAGCCATTTTTACGGCCAGAAAAGTGACAGAATTACAAATCGCCACAAAATTTAAATTATCAAAAAGATACTTAGGTTTCAATTTAATATATTTTAATTATTCTAATAATATAAAAATAATCTTTTGGGCAGGAAGAAAATCTAATTGGAAGTTAGACGAAATTCTCAATATTGATTACGAAAAATACAAATTGAACTCTAATCAATATTTAGTTGGTTCAGATAGTAGGTTATAAAAAAAAATGGTGGTTGTAAGGCTAATTAAAGCATTACATAGACAAATTTTCATTATTTAAATATTTATATAACTATATTTTTAATTTATAACATTGTTAATGAATAATTATATTCGGGTCCTTGTGTTTTCTAATTATATTTCTTACATTTTTTTTCCAAAAGGCAAATTAATTTTTTTTTGAAAAGCTAGGAATATAATTGTATATTTAAAATAAACATATAAATTTAAATAAAATTCGATTATTAATGATTTATAATTTTGAAGGTGATTAAAATAGAATCATTTTTCATGGATTTTTTTAAAACATTTTTCATTGTTTTAAGAAATCTTAATCAAAAAATTTCTCGTCTTAAATTATCAATTTTTATTAACTAAACTTGTTTAAGATTTCAAAGAAAAAAAATCATATGAAAAAAAAAGTGTTGTTAAATGGCTTAATTTTTCAAAATGGCTAACCCAATATTTTAGCCAAAAAATATTACGCGAGCATGGAGATTTTGAATATAGATGGCAGAAAGGTTTGAGCATCTAATAAAGAAATCTAGAGATTAGTCTAATATTTTTTGGCTAAAATATTGGTTTAGTCGTTTTTAAAAATCGAGCCGTTTAAACAACAATTAATTAAATTAACAGGATTAAATCTTTTTGAATGATCTTTTAATATTCAGTTGAAATTTGAATGCATTTTATATTTCATAAAATAATAAATTTATAACCCTAACTATAACCTCGTTCTTTAGAATGACTTTATAATTATATATCAATCTTACACTTCGTAAGTTTATTGTAAGATTTTTAAAATATTCCAAGTTCATTTTCAACGTATTTTGACATACCTTACTTTCCAATGCTGTCCTATAATTTACTTCATTCGTGTCTTATGACGGAAATCCATATTTAATATCGTATTATGTGCTATATCTTAAAAAAGTGATCATGGTATCGCTGAGTTGCATCTACATTTAATAATTTAATACTAATTTTGAGTATCTAGAATCCTCAATTTTCTCTAGGGCACCTCCATTTTATAAATATTATGATACGATCCACAACTCCAAAACATAGCAATATGAAATGTGAAAATTTAATCTCTCAAATTTTCTTTGGGTCATTTCGTCAGTATTGTGAAATGTTAAAAATTAGAAAATGAAAGGTACATACCAAATAACTTTAATAAAATGGCCTGGTCGTTATAATTTAACAAAATTTTATTTTTAAGCCTTGGAAATGGCAATTTAATTTTTATTTGTTAATATTAATGTTAATTATATAATAAAACATTAAACATTAAAATTGAAAATTTTTTTTTATTCCAATAATATGAGCATATGTAGTTCATAAGTAATGTGTTATATCGACCTATATAATTTTACATTTTTACTTTAAGGAGAATACGCAAAATATGACTAATTTATATTTATCAAAGAAATTTTTATTAAATATACCGCAAACATTTCTTTAAAATACGTCTAATCATCATATAATAATATAGCTCATTCCATATCTTTCTTTTGGTTGTAATATAATATATTTCTATATTTTAAATCCCTAATAAAAATTTAGTTTGGTACTAAATATATGGATTGCAAAGTGAATTAAATGGGTTGAAAACCGATAGTAACGATGAGGGGAGAAGATAACTCAAGTATGCTTAAAAAAATTTTGATTATGGCTAAAATATTAAAGCCAGGGAGTAGCTAAAAATAAATATTCAAAAAAAAATAGAGATATATCATCTACAAAAGATTTTAAGAACATATAGGATAAACCGAAAGAAATCTTAGTGTTAGTATAACTATTTTCAAGTAGCTATCTAAGATATTTAAATAAAATAATATAATATACTCATAAAAAATATACATCTCAAATTTCTAAATCTGATCACATTATTAAAATTTTATTGGAGCATGATATATTATCAAATTTTAAATTCTGTGTAGTTCATATACTAATATACTCCTCGAACGAATCAAGAATTACATAAGAAACACAATAGGACAATAAAGACTCATTTCGTTAGTCATAATTAAGGCATTGAAAATTATGAGCAATTGATGATAAATACTATTTTTCACGAATCCCGGGAAAAAACCCTCAGAAAACCCCCAGGAAAAAAACCAGGAAAATAAACCGCCAGGAAAAAAACCCGGAAAATAAACCCCCAGGAAAAAAAACCCCAGAAAAAATCCCCCGGAATTTTTTTTCATATTTATAAAAGTTACTTAAGACCTAATGATATAGATATATTTTTATTTGGATTATAATGGATATACTCTATTTATAATGTATAGACAAATTTGCATTTTGAAAAAAATATTATAAAAATATAATATTAAAATAAGCTAAATTTTTTTAGGCCCTAATTCATTATTAAAGATTACTCATATACCCAAGATAAAATGCTGAAGTTCAAATTGGTGCTGGGAAAAAATACCCAAGTAAAATAACCCATGTATTTCTCATTTTCTTAAAAATCATTTGCTATAGTAATAAATACAATATCCATCCTTAATTACGATATTAAGTAGACTAAATTTGACAAAATTTTGTAATAAAATATATTTTATTGGTAAATAATGATTATGTATATACAAATTTAATAATTTAGAAATTATAAGGATTGACTTCGAATAGGAAATCGTTCTTATAAAATCTGGAAGGCTTCGCACGCACCCCATCACGGTATTTCTCGCAAAGTTTCTTTAACCGAATCCGGGTATTATAACTCTGCGATTTTGTTTTCGGTGTCCAACTTCTAAAGGCCATCATTAGTTTGGTTTCATCGTTATCCACCTTAGATTCCATTTTTTTAAATCAATATGGGCATTTATTCCCAACCAGATTAAAAAAAGGATGATTCCAACCTTCGCATTGATTATTTATGCGTTCTTCGTCGGATAGAATGCAATGATTCGCGTTCCAACTTTCAGGAGGAAATCGAGACTCAATTCGATGTGTTTATAATTGAGAATTGCTTCTTGTGACAAATTCTTTAAATATGAAGAAAAAATCCGAGGTTTTTTTTCCTGGGGGTATATTTCCCGAGTGTTTTTTTTCTTGGGAGTTTTATTTCCGAGGGTTATTTTTCCTGGGGTTTTCTCCGGAATTTTTTTCCTACTATCATTTATCACTTATAAAATAAATTAAAGGTATAAATTTAAATCTAGTATAAAATAAATATTTTTTATATTATTTGTTATGAAAATAATATTGTTGAAAGGGTTTCAGTAAAAAGGGAGTGAAAGAAAGTATAAAATTATATTTATTCATTTGTCCGTTTTTTTGATAAGATCAATAAGCTAACACTCTTTGCCTATATAATAGAACCTAGAGTTAACACTGCTGCAAATATTGTAAATTAGAGTTTTAAGTTAACTATGAATATTATTGTCATTTTAAAATTAATCCTTATAATTAAAGTTAATAAGTTTCGCAAAAAAATGTTACTGTTATACTTTTCTATTCAGAAAATACAATAGATCGCATTTTGATAACATATAATAATAACTCAGTAGGGTTAATAGCCTTTACCATCTCAGGGGACTCAACTAAAGAAATATTATAGGGGCGAAGAGCTCCCATACTCCCCATTTTTGTGTGCCTTAGACCCGTTTTTCCCAGTTTCTTTTAATATCTTATATTCTTATATTGAGATCTATGAACTAGAACTAGTATTTAAATTTTCCATTTACTGTCGTATGATTCAGAATCTTCCGATTTTAAATAGAGTTGTTAAGGAACGGCGCTCCAGGATCGCCGCTACTTTTTCAAAAAAACCTGAAGCGCCCTCCTTTTAAAAATGGAGTGGAAGAGGGAATTAGCTCCTTTTATGGCTGGAGTGGATGAGCGCCGCTCCACCGCTCTTTTAAATTTAATGTATAAATTAAATTATTTTTTAAATATTATTAATTTAATTATTTATCAATTAAAATTCAATAAAAATCAAATTTTATTTAATTAAAATTTAGGCAATATTAAATGTTGAGCCGAGTTTTATATTGGTCTTTTATCTAATCAATTAAAATATTAAACATCAAGTTTTTCTTTCTTTTTATATTGAAAATTTCATGGAAAATCTCGTAAGTCATATTAATATTCATTTTATAGATGTATGATAAAAAATAGTTTTTGATATTATGGATCCATACATCATAGAAGAAGTAATTGAAATAAAAAATAATCTATTTAAAAATCTTTATTGCAGATTTTTATATGTTAATAATGATGAAAATATCATTTTTGCTATTATCCATCCTGCATTCAAATTAAATTGGGAATGGATAAATTGTGCACAAAATATGGAACTAAAATACAATTTTTAAGAAAACAAATTCCTGATGCAAAAATAGCTATTAGTTCACGAGAACCCTGCAATGAATTGGAAGATTTTGTTGGATTCCATGAAAATGACCATCAGAAAGATAATATATTGGGCAAATATTTTTTAAATAATGATAAATTACTATTTTTGATAAATTTCCTGAATTAAAAAATATTTTTATAAAATACAAGAAACCGCTTCCCTCTAGTGCTCCAGTTGAGGGCTTGTTCAGTATTGCTAAACAGGTTTTAGAAGAGAAGAGTGGATGTTTGTTAGATTCAAATTTAGAAAATTTATTACTTTTAAAAGCTAATAAAAGATTAAAAATATTTTGATATATCTATCATTTAATATAAACTAGTAGAAAGCCCGTCAAAAATGGGGGAATGAGATTTTTATTCATTTTTTTACGATAGATGTCATGCCAGGTCTAAGCTCACAATATTAGGAAGCATCCATAATCTTATAATTATAAAAAAGTTTATCAAACCCAGCTCAACCCTTGATAATTTGTAAAAGATATTCCCAAGTCAGGTGCAAGCTAATATTAATTTTGAGGTTCCAAGGCCCAGTCGTATCCAATATAATTTTGAAAATTTTTCCCATCTCGGAGATAGTTAAATTTTTAATTGATTTATCAAGGGGAAATATCTGATTTACCAATTAGTCTAAAATGTAAAAAAAAAACATGTGAATTCCGTATTAAGGGAAACTGGGAAGGCCTGGGCAAACCACTTATTAGAGAATTATGATAAATAAAATAAAATTGGTAATATGATCAATTAAAATTATATCTAAAAAATAAATTGTTGTTTATTATAGGGTTATTGTTGCTTTTCAGATAAATTTAATGTATGTC